CCCTGAGACAGGAGTGTGCCCGGCACGTTCAAGGGCCAGCGTAGGTACCGAGAGCAGCGGGAAGAGGCGTGGGAAGACAAAGGGATGGACAGAGCGAGGCCTTGACACCCACGCTTCAGACTCCAGATGCAGTAAGGAACCACCGGGACATAAGAGCAGGTAAGTGACATAATCCAACCTAACCTAAGAGGAGCAGGTCTCTGGGGACTAGAGGTCCAGGGACAGCAGCAGGGAGACCAGTGACACAGCTTGTCTGTTCTCTAGCTAAATACAAAAGTAAACACATGACTGTTTCCTGGGTCCATGGTTCAGCCAAATACAGCAGAGAAAACAATACTTGCACTGAGTGTTATAGGCTTTTCCTTGTCCTGTTCCCTAAATACCACAGCGTGACAATTTATATAGCATTTACATTGTATCAGATACTGAGGTTAACCTAAAAATGACTTAAAATGTTCAAAATGATCGTGTTGCCTCTAATCAAATTCTATACCATCTTGTAGAAGGGACTTGAAGTCTTTGGATTTTGTCATCCTTGGGGTTCCAACCAATCTCCCATGGATACCCAGGAATGATTTCATGGCATTATATTACTGTCTTCCTCCTATGGTTTAGGATATGTTTCTGCTGCTAAGAGGAAAGTGAAGGTTTCAGAACCACTAATGTGGCTCAGTTCTAAGACCTGAGGCTCTGCTGTGGGAGTGTCATCTTCTCTGACCACAGCAGTTGCAGGACCAGAAAGGCCACTGTTGGGAGGACTTTGGGACAGGGGTTGGGGAGTGTGAGGACGGCATGTGAGGACGGCTTGGGAGGAAATGGGGTCTCTTGAGATGTCTGGAGGGAAAGCCATGGGGGAAGAGTGGGGACAGAGCAGCAGATGCAGGACGAGCCTGTGACATCCCTGAGAGGGATGGTTGCTCCTCCTGCTTCTCCCTATTTCCCTGACCCCTATTTCTCTGAGACCTACCCAGATCTGTAAAAATTGAAGAGTCAGGGGGCCAAGAATCCCCTTAAAGAGCTGCCCCAGCCATGAGCATTTGACACGGCTTTGGTGTCATAGTAAGTGTGGCAAGCGAAGTTTTTTTTTTAAAGCCATTTCTGGAGTGAGCCAGATGTCCCCAGGGCCCCTCTACCAACCACACTTAGGATGAAAAGGCAGCAGGCAGACATAGTACTGGGAGGATCAGCAGGTGCCCCCAGGGCCAAGCCGAGCAGGACCAGTGAAGTATCAGTGCTCTGCTGACTTCCGATAATCCAGGAAGGCTTCCTGCAAGCGGAGGACTCCAAGCACAGAGGGAAAGGACAAAGGAAAGGGAGGCAGTGAGGCCTAGTGTGGGGAAGATCAGACTGGCCCAGAGCGCCCAGCCTTGGTACAGAGGAGGTGAAGAGGCCTAAGCCGGGCAAGGAGGGATGAGTGATTGGGCCTCCGAAGAGCACCGCCGTGTGCTCTGCAGACTACAGGTGACTCAGAGAGGTCTCAGAAACCAGGCACTCCAGGCTAGTCAGGGGCCTTTTTCTTTTTCTTTTTCTTTTTTTTTCTTCCTTTTTTTTCATTTAAGTTAGAAACAAGCTTGTTTCACATGTCAATCCCAACTCCCTCTCCCTCCCCTCCTTCCCTGCCCTCCCTACCAGGCCCCCCAGTCTCCACTCCGAACCCCAGGGAGGGTGAGGCCCTCCATGGTGGATCTCCAGAGTCTGTCATGTCATCCAGGGCAGGGCCTAGGCCCTGCCCCAAGAGTCCAGGCTGAGAGAGCATCCCTCGCTGTGGGATGGGCAGCCAAAGTCTATTTGTATGCCAGGGATAAATACTACCCAAGGCCCCATAGATTACCTAGGCCTCCTCACTGACCTCCACATTCAGGGGGTTTGGATCAGTCCCATGCTGTCCACCCAGCCATCAGTCTGGGGTCCAAGAGCTCCCCCTTGTTCAGGTCAACTATTTTTGTTGGTTAAACCAGCCCAGTCTTAACCCCTTTGCTCATCAGTCCTCCCTTTCTGTCACTGGATTCCAAGAGTTCAGTTCAGTGTTTCACTGTGGGTGTCTGCCTCTGTTTCCATCAGTCGCTGGATGAAGGTTCTGTTTCCCAGAGTCAGGAGCCTTTTTCATTCAGTTAGTTTTTGAAGGCTTCCTAGAAACAGCCACTGAGAAGCATTTCAAATTGAGATAGTCATGGACTCTTGAGTGGAAGTTTAATACTGGGTGGGGTCTTAAAAGATGTAAGACCAAAAGGCATGATGAGTGACAGCAGCAGGTATAAGAGGTTACAGAAAGACATGGTTTCAGTGACCTGGGACACCCCCACACAGGCGTTTTATGAAGTGCCAAAGAAGAGAAATCACAGCTTCTCTCCAGTGAGTAGTTCACAACAGCTTCCTGGAAGAGGCATTTGTTCTAAGGCTCAGAAGAAGAGACAAGGGTACAATACAGTGACAACAGCACAGGGGTGGGTAGTGACTGAGGGGCGAACATGAGAAGACCTGTCCCCACCTGTCCTCAAAGCTCCTGGCCTGGGACAGAGCCTGGTCAGGGACCTGGGTGTCTCCAGCAGGGTGTTGGGGTGATAGGTAGAGACTGACCAGTGTGAGAATATGGTTTCCCTCTTCCTCCTACTCAACAAATGTCTGGGTCTCTCCAGGACAGCTGCTCTGGGCAGCACAGAGGATTTGGTCTCCCTCTGCCCTTTGTCTTCTACCCAGGCAATCCAGCCAGAACTTTGTGGGGGCAGCTCCCCTGGGCAGCCTGCCAGTGGGGCTCAGTGCTGCAGGAGGTGAGCCTGATTCAAGCGGCAGAGTACAGGAGGCATCCCAGGGTTAAAGTGGGCTTTCAAGCACCCTCCTGCCGGTTCTCAGCTGCCCCCTCTGCCTTCAACACAAGCTCCAGGCCTACAGAAAAGATAGCCAATGAGGTTACTGTCCACGCCCTGGAACACACCCTGGACCCCTGAGAGCAGGGCCCCACACAGGGCTAGAAGCTGGGAGTCATCCCCTGTTCTCCCCCAAACAGCCTCTCCCTCCACCCCCAGGCTCTACCCCAGGTTTTTATAAGAGTGAAATCAGGCTGAGGGAACACTAACCGCAGCCTTGAAAGGGTGAAGCAGTTGTGAGGGCGCAGGGGAGGGAAAGCTAAGGGTGGGGCAGGAACAAGCCCACGCAGCGGGGGGGGAGGGCTATGTTCCCAACAGGGGGCCCACACAGCTGGGGGGTGGGGATGTTCCCGATGGGAGGCAGCTGCTCTTCCCTTCCCACAGACCTTTATGATGCCCCAAACACAGTCTCATATATTTGCCACTTGCTGCCAACAAGGAGGATTAGAATAGAAACAAATTCTGGAAGGGTACGGAGACTAGAGAGGTGAACTAGAAAGTGTCCAAGCTGAACTCGGTCTTACAGCTTTGATTCAGCTATCCCAGTTGCTAACCCCTGTCGCTTTCCCTGGAGGGACCAGTGTTGGAATGTCCTTTAGAACAAGCTGGTGATCACCTGGGCGTCCCCCACCATTGGAATGTCCTTTAGGACCAGCTGGTGATCACCTGGGCGTCCCCCACCAGCTAGGGAACACCTGGACTCCACACACACACACATACACCAGCTGGTAAGCACCTGGGCTTCCCCCACCAGCTGCCCAGAGTCTGTTCACCTCCCCTGATAAATCAGGGAAGGCTACAGAATATATATCCATCTGTCTAACACCAGGTGAAGACCTGAGGTCGGCGGACCATGGACATGAGGGCAGACCCAGGGCAGAGAGCAAAGGGTTTTTAGGTGGAAATATTTGATTCTGACCAAAGAATCAGTCTCCAGGCACGCTAACCAGCTCTCCTTCCTTAAGGTCCTAATTCCTCGGGTGTTTGCAGAGCCTCCCTTGGGGCAGAGACCACATCCTTGGTGTTTGTGTTCCATAAACATTAGAGGAATGGCATCATTATCCTAATAAGTGGCCCAGGGACACACAGGTAACAGTGATGTTAGAAGGCCATGGTTCCCAGAGGCCCCCAGGAGACAGAAATCCAGGGTCCTCCGGCAAGAGTGAGCCACCATCTTTGTACATTCATGAAAGCTCTAAACAGACCTCGAGAGGTGACAATGCTGGGACAGTCTATGAACAGTTTACTGCTCTGGTCAGTGGTCTTGGAAGGGACAGACAGTCACAAGAACATGTTTCTTCTTAAGGAGCAAATAGAAAGGGCTCAGAGCAAGCTGATGAGCAACAGGTTCCCTCAAGGTTGGCTACACCTTTCTGTTCTGGCCACATGGAAGAAAGTGACTGAGGAAGAGTCTCCCCAGTACCCACAAAAGGTCATTATGTGGCCACTGAAACTTCAATGGTTTGCACTTTTGCTGGGTGAGAAGGACAGGCTCTGGACCAGAGTTCTCTGGGCTGGAACCCAGATAGTTCCAAGGGACTGTCTTTTCCAGCCCCCTATCCCTGAGAACACATGGTCAAATGACTCCTTCAGGCAAGCTGTCTGGGCATGTGAAACTACCCCAGGGACAGAGATGGATATGATGATGGGGCCAGGGAACAGAGTGGGGTCTTCCTGTGTCTCAGCCAACCTAGGACTCTGGTGATTCTACAACCCTCCACTGCTACCCCAAACCTAGTCGCCCCCAGTTTGTTATGGAGTTCAAATCCGTCCCCGGGTGTGGGTTGAGGCCATCTCAGAGAGACTGTGTGAAAATTAATTACTTAATGTATGTAAAGAGCTTTGAAGATGAAAAGTGTAGCACGGTGTCCCTAATAACATCTTCAACTCTTTACGGAGCCTGAGTCGCCTCTGAGCTCACCTTTAAGATGAGTCCTTGGGGAGTTTCTGGCAACCTCCCCAAGCCCATAAACAACATAAAATGGCTTTTCACTGCTTTTATACAGCCAACCCCAGCTCTCCCCACCAATAAAAGGACTGCAGAGAATCAGAGACACCCAAAGGATTCTAAGCCTTATATTCTGCAGCCTACACCAAACTCCATAGCCACTTAGACACCAGCATCCAGCTCACACCATGTCCTGTCGCTCCTACAGGATCAGCCCAGGATGTGGAGTTACCAGAAACTTCAGCTCCTGCTCGGCTGTGGCCCCCAAAACTGGCAATCGCTGCTGCATCAGTGCCGCTCCCTTCCGAGGGGTGTCCTGCTACAGGGGATTGACTGGCTTCAGCAGCCGAAGCCTCTGCAACCCAAGCCCTTGTGGGCCCCGTATAGCTGTTGGAGGCTTCCGCTCCGGCTCCTGTGGAAGAAGCTTCGGCTACCGCTCTGGAGGAGTCTGCGGGCCCAGTCCCCCCTGCATCACCACTGTCTCTGTCAATGAGAGCCTGCTCACACCCCTCAACCTGGAGATCGACCCCAATGCTCAGTGTGTGAAGCATGAGGAGAAGGAACAGATCAAGTGCCTCAACAGCAAGTTTGCAGCCTTCATCGACAAGGTGGGTGTGGCCTGTGATGGCCCAGAGCAGACCCCAGGCCTGACTTCTCTTTGGAAGGTCCCAGTCTGCTGGGAAGACAAATTGGCTGCCAGACTAGGGAAGAAATGCAGGCCCACATAAGTGCATGGACCCATTGCCTTCACTCGGTACTTGGAAAGTCCATTATATAGTCTAAAATCGAGTCTATGGTTTAATGTGTGTGTGTGTGTGTGTGTGTGTGTGTACATGTACACACACACATCTGAGGACAAAATGACAAGGCAGGGTGTCCCTCCAAGTCTAGCTGAGGACTGAGGATAAGAAAATGGAAAACAATACAAACAGAAGCCATGGTTAGCTTGTTCCTAGGCAGCATGGGCTGTGGAGGGGAACCACTTAGGTCACACTGCCTCTTCATGGGCTAGCTGTGACACTCAACAGTATGACACTCCAGGCAGGGTACAACCTTGAATAGCAGGACCTGCCTCATGGGTTTAATGTAAGGATTTGGAGGCTTGATTTTGGAAATCACAGGCCAGTAGCAAGAGTTCAATGTCTTTTCCAAAGACAACAGTGGAAGAGGAGGTGTGACAGCTAACCAAGGGGGAGGGGACTGGAATAGAGATAGGGAGGAGGCCTACCTGGAAGGGCACCCATCGATGCTGGCAAAGTGTCAAAGCCTCCCCAAGGGGCTGTGGGGAAGGAGTCTAAAATTCCTGATGCTTTTTTTAGTGGTCCTAATAAATCCTCAAATCACCCAATGGGTAGCTAGATCTTCAGATCCATAATGTAGTGACAAATGGAGCTGAGGAAGCTTGGGGCTGCTCAGACACACTGTGCCAGTGATGGCCATGGATGGAGACGTCACTCCACCAGTGAGTGTGAGCTGTCCTTTCATGCTCAGGAGTCTGCTTCCCCGTACACAATGTGGAGGAAATGGCATCTGCACACACACACACAGAAGCGTGATAAATGAATGAACTTCACAGACACAGATATATAGAAACAGGCAAAAACACAGATAAAGATACAGATACAAAACTTAGAGATAGACAAAGACATAAAAACCAAAATAAACAAAAACATTAATGTAGAAAAGGCAGAAGCAAAGACATGGACATAGAAAAAGTTTTAGGCACAGACATAAACAGATAGTCATAAGAGTGTTGTGTGTGCGGCGTGTGATGTGGTTCATGTGGTGGTGCACATGGTGTGGCATGGCATGATATTTTGTGTGTACATGTGTGTGGTATGTGTGCTGTGGTTTGGTGTGGTGTAGTGTGTGTTGTGTGTACATGGTGAGTATGTATGTAGTGTGTGATATGTGTGTATGTGGTATTGTATGATGTAGCTTGGTGCGGTGTGGTGAGTGTGTGTGTGTATGTATGTATGTGGCGTGTGGTATGGTGTAGTATGTGTGGTGTGTGTATGCCGTGTGTAATAAATATTATATGGTATGGTCTGGTATGATCTGTGTGAATGTGTAGTTTATGTATGTGATGTGGTATGGTGTAGTGTGTGTAGTATGTGTATGCAGTGTGTGTATTGTGTATATATGTGTGATATAGTATGTGGGGGGCCTGTGTATGTGTTGTGTGTGCACACATGTGCAGTATGGGAGTGTGCACATCTGTGTGGGAGTGTCCTAGCACAGGCCTGGGTACCACAGAGTGAATACTGGAGATGTGTTTGTTGGAAAAGAATGACTGAAGGACCACTAGTAATTAAAGTAGCTTTATTGACTTGCTATCCTTGCTGCATGTCGGGACTGTTCTGAACAATTTACATGTATGAACTGGCTCAGTCTTCACAGCTGTAGCACTGCTATCACAGAGTGAGAAGCACGAAGAGGCTCAGCAGCTTGCCCGCCTACAGTCCCAGAGACGGAGCTGGAGCTGGAGCTGGCTTTGAGCCAAGTTCAGAGCTGTTCAGTCAGCATGAAAGGGGGAAGAGCTCTATCAAAGCATTCCATACACACACACACACACACACACCAATCACACATACCACAATACAAATGCCACACACAAACACACACACCACACACATATCATACCAGACACACAACACATATACAAGCATACATATACACCATTCACCAATCACACAAATCACATATGTAACACACCACACATACACAATACAGCAAACACACATGCAACACACACACCACATGCACACACACATAGCACACACACACTACATATACCACACACAAACATACCATACACATCACTTATCACTTGCATGTGCACAACACACATAACACACACACACACACACACACACACACACACACACACTTCCTAAATTCCTGCTAAGTCGCTTTGCTCCCCCGAATGGCAGGTGCGCTTCCTGGAGCAGCAGAACAAGCTGCTGGAGACCAAGTGGCAGTTCTACCAGAACCAGCGCTGCTGTGAGAGCAACCTGGAGCCTCTGTTTGGAGGCTACATCGAGACGCTGAGGAGGGAGGCTGAGTGTGTGGAGGCTGACAGCGGGCGGCTGGCTGCTGAGCTCAACCATGTGCAGGAGGCCATGGAGGGCTACAAGAAGAAGTGAGTGTGCATGCCCACAGGTTCTCAGAGCCACGTGGGTGGGAAACCTCTGCTGCAACTTCTCAGGATCCCAAAGGACTTCCAGGGCCTCAGAGGGTGTGGGCAGCAGGATCTAGTTGTGCGAGGGAGAACTGGCTCTCAAGAAGTTAGGATCAGAATCCTCATGGGAGCCCCAGAGCTGTCTTCTCCATTCCTTGCCTGCTTTCCTGCTTTGGGTGCTGGGCTGAGGGCTCTCCTTGCCAGCACAGTGCCCTTGGAATCAGACTCGGGGTGGAACGTGCTATCAGGAACCCACCTCAGAGGCAAAGAGATGGAGAATGCAGCCCAGCTGAGACAAGACCTAGCCAAGAGCAATACACAAACATCACACAAGGACACAGTCACACCATGAAAGGTTTAATCCCCTTCATAGCCCCCGGAAGAATTTGGCTAGGAGCTGAGGCAGGATCCAAGGCGTGGGCTGAGTTCTGTCTTTTCCCACACCTAGGTATGAGGAGGAGGTGGCCCTGAGGGCTACAGCAGAGAACGAGTTTGTGGTTCTAAAGAAGGTAAGGTTCCGCTTGCTAGGCAGGGAGGGAGGGGACCACCCTTGTGGCCTCCAGGCAGTCACCATGGTCCTTCCTTGGACACTTCCGTGTGTGCTTCCCTCCCGTCTGTCTCCTCTCAGGATGTGGACTGTGCCTACTTACGGAAATCAGACCTGGAGGCCAACGTGGAGGCTCTAGTGGAGGAGTCAAGCTTCCTGAAGCGCCTCTATGAAGAGGTAGAGACGCTCACTCATTTGCTGGCGTGGCTGGGGAAAAGAGGACGCAGAGGTGGGGTGGGAGTTCAGGGTCCTAGGCCTGCGAGTGCTCGGTAATATGCCACATTTATAAAACTATCTCCCCACACATGTGAAAAGGCCCCAGTGCATAGGTGTAGAGTGTTGGGTATACACATCTACAGCGCATCTGTGTTCACATGTATCAGGATAATTGTGCATATATGCATTTGGCTTGTGTGTCTGTGGGCATCTCTGTATGTTAGAGTGTGTTTGCATGCTAGATGATAGATATGGAGGTTTGTGGGGATACCGTGTATGGAGGTTCACAATGGACCAGTTACTATCTGCAACCAAACAGAGCCAATTTGTCTGAGACTTACAGTCAGGCCTTTCCTGAACTTCGCCCATTTTCAGAGGCTGACCCCACTGTAATGTTTAGGGCTTCTAGCCTTGTGGTTTTATATTGTGCCTGAGTGTGAATGAAGGTGTTAGAGGCAGGAATCTCTGACCTTCCTCATCAGAGCTCCACCAGTGAATAAACACTGTCCCCAGGAATGGGACACCAGGTGCAAAATAGGCACCAAGCATAATGCTCTTACTGTTGACTCTGCAGGAGATCCGTGTTCTGCAAGCCCATATCTCAGACACTTCAGTCATCGTCAAGATGGACAACAGCAGGGACCTGAACATGGACTGTGTCGTGGCTGAGATCAAGGCTCAGTATGATGATGTTGCCAGCCGCAGCCGGGCAGAGGCCGAGTCCTGGTACCGCACCAAGGTGAGAGCCAAGCAAGGTGTCTATTAAAAAAGGTTTCTTTCCCCTTACGACAAAGCTGACTGACCTCTGGTTGGGGTAGGCAGCCAGAGCTGCTTTGTGTAAATATCGCGCATGCTGAGCATTACATGCTGCACGCAGTTTGGGTTTATGCTGAAGGAGTGGTTGCCCTACTTCCTTCGTAAGCATCTGTCCCCTGCACCCTCAACTTCCAGTGTGAGGAGATGAAGGCCACAGTGATCCGGCACGGGGAGACCCTGCGCCGCACGAAGGAGGAGATGAATGAGCTGAATCGGATCATCCAGAGGCTGACGGCTGAGATTGAGAATGCCAAGATCCAGGTGGGTCATGAGGCAGACTCAGATAAACTACGTGCACAGGCAGGCAACATCACCAGGTGCGTTGCCCACGAGAATGAGATCCCTGTCTCTAATAAAGATGGAGAGGAAACAGGGACCCAGAGCCAAGGCAGGATTCCCCCATATCATACACTGGTCATGCTGGGATGAGGGCCACTGACCTCAGAGAGCTGTAGTCTCTTTCTCAGCCATTGCCCACCAGGAAGAAGATATGCTGAAAAACCATCTCCTCCTGGGGTTGCCAGCCCTAATAACTACCTGCCATGAACCCTCCCAGTGATCCATCTTCCCTTGCTCTAAATACTAGAAGAAGCCCAGCTGTGCCCCCACCCCACCCCCATCTTGTTCTAACAAGATGCACCCCCCACCCCACAGCGTGCCAAGCTGGAGACCGCTGTGGCTGAGGCAGAGCAGCAGGGAGAGGCCGCCCCTCACTGATGCCCGCTGCAAGCTGGCTGAGCTGGAGGCTGCCCTACAGAAGGCCAAGCAGGACATGGCCTGCCTGCTCAAGGAGTACCAGGAGGTGATGAACTCCAAGCTGGGGCTGGACATCGAGATCGCCACCTACAGGCGCCTGCTGGAGGGCGAGGAGCACAGGTGAGCTGAGAAGAACCATGTGGGGATTCAGGTGAGGGCCAAACTGTCTTGCACAAACAAGATGGCCAGGGCCTGTCAGTCCTTGCATGGAAGGGGCAGAGACTCTGGTGCTCCTGGTGAACGGTCTTGGGCACAAGTGTGACACACAGCTCTGACTGCCCTACTCTAGGCCAGGTAATAATGGTAAGCTATCACATATCCTATGTTCTATGTCAAGTGCCAGTTTATAATCCTCCATCCTGGCAGATAAGTACCATTTTCCCTATCCAAAAACAGAGGGGGGTTGGCTCAGTGTTCAGCACCGTTCCTATAGCAACCAAGTTACTAAGCTACAGAGCTGGGACACAACACTAGGTCCTGCATTTCTAAAGACCATTCATAGCTTCTCTTGAGGCCGGGGTCATGTACAATAAGGATGATGTACTCTGTACGCACGTAGCTCTGCCTCATCCTTACTGTGAGCACTATTGGCATTCAGCAGGCTCAGACACCCTGATGGCAGGCAGTGTGTAGAAGTCACAATTCCATTCTCTACTGCTCTAAACCAGGGCTGGTCTTCGTGGATGGGGGCCTCTTTAAAGAAAGAAAATGAACATCCATGAAGACTTGGAGAGGCCTTCCTGCCTCTCAGGAGATAGAGCCAACCTAGAACAAAAGCTGACCTTGTTTGTCCCCAAGCAACTGTCTCAAGGAATCCAGCTCATGCTTGGAACTAATGGCACTTTCTTTTCTCCTTAGGCTATGTGAGGGTGTGGGCTCTGTGAATGTCTGTAAGTATCTGCTGGAAATGTCCTTAGAAAAATGGTTTGGGAGATGGGAAAAACTGTGCCACGGCCCACCGCACTGACCCTCCAATGTTTCCCAACTTTCATAGTCTTCACTCTTTTCCAGGCTCCTCCCTAAGGACTACTGGAGGGAGGTTTAAAAAAAAGTTGAGCACCCCTTACTGACAGGCACTAGAAACTGCAGTCCAGGGAAATGGGTCCAGGAATCATCACATCTCTCCAGATGTGCTATGAGGTTGAAAGAATAGAACCTGTCATGTTAACCACTGATCCCTGGAGGAGGAGGCAGGCCCTGCATGTGAAGCCCTCAGGGAACTGTGGTGGGTTGGTGACACTACAGCAGGCCCTTTATCCCTCCCTGTTCCTCTTCCCACAGGCGTCAGCAGCTCCCGTGGTGGAGTCACAAGTGGAGGCCTCACATATGGCACAACCCCAGGGCGCCAGATTGCCTCTGGTCCCTCTGCCACCGGGGGCAGCATCACAGTGATGGCCCCTGACTCCTGCTCTCCTTGCCAGCCACGAGCCTCAAGTTTCAGCTGTGGGAGCAGCCGCTCAGTGCGCTTTGCTTAGTGCCGGGACCTCCAACTGTCTGCGCATGAATGGAGTGATGGTGACGTGTGAATGGAAAATGTGTGCTTTCTTCCAGAATATTCCAGATGTTCCTATAGGAGGAAAGAGCTCAGGGCCACTCTCCTCCCCCTTCTCCTTTTAGGGAGTTGTTTCTCAGTTCTTCTCTGGATTCACTTTAGGAGGTTATTTCAAACCCTTCCCTTAATTCCAACCTGTCTTCAAACACTTATAATTGATTTGTATCATTCGCCAAACTCTCAGAGACTCTACTCATCACACTGAGTGGCTGGGCAATAAAGCTTGACCTTCTTGGGTCAAGGCAAAATCCTAACCACCAGCCATTCCCCCCAACACCAAGGACCAAAGGGAACCCTCCCCAAGAAACTCCCACTTCTGGCCCCAGGTACATGGCCTCAGAGGTGTTTGCTCACCCCTGACTGACTGCCTTCCCAGGGACAACATGCCCCACCACACTTGGGTTGCTTCCCAGAAAACAGTCTGCTCTCTGGGGAGTCCTGCTACCTACAGCCCCTGGCTGGGGTCTTTGAACAGGTCTTTCTATTCAGGGCACCTTTCCACATTTCAAAGACTCCTTACTTGCTGCAGGCCTCCCCTGCCTGTGCAGAAGGGAACTGCCCACTGGAGAGCTGATGGGATGGGGGCTATGAGGCCGCTTTCCGGTTCTGTCTGTAGGTGCCTTGCCTTCTGGGTTGACCCCATCTGTTTCAATAAATACTGCTGCCATGCAAGGGTGTGTGATATTTTGTGCCACTCTCTGCTTGTTTGCCTGAATCAGCCAACCAATCCTAAGCCAGCCCCATACTGGTAACCAGCATTCTGGAAAAGCCAGTGTCTTTTGTCACAGGGTGACCTTCTCCACTCACCCCTGTGACTCCTCCTCTTCCAGTCCATTCCCACAGCCTGATCCACTTGTCCTCCTCTGTCCCTAATGGCCTCCAGCACAGTTCCAGCTCCCCCTATAGCCCCTCCCCCAAAATTAAGCCACCCTGTTGTCTTAGTTAAGGTTACTCTTGCTGTGATGAAACACCATGACCAAGCAACTTGGGGAGTTTGGCTTGTAGTTCCATATCACCATTCATCATAGAGGGAACTCTACCAGGGCATGAACATGGAAGCTGCCGCTGATGCAGAAACCATGGAGGGTGCTGCTTACTGGCTTGTTCCCCTAGGCTTGTTCAGCCTACTTTCGTATAGAACCCAGGACCTCTAGCCTGGGGGTGGCACCATCCATGGTGACTGGACCATTCCCATCAATCACCAATTAAGAAAATACCCCAAGGCTTGCCTACAGCATTCTCTCACTTGAAGCTCCCTCCTCTCTAATGACTCTAGCTTGTGTCAAGTTGACATAAAACTGACACAACTGAGTGCTGGGATTAAAGGTATGAGTCACCACATTTGATGAGACCAGTTTTCTGACACAACTGACCCCTTGTCAACAAGACACACAAAGATATCACTGTTACAACCACAGCCCTTTCTCTTTTTTCATCCCCAAAATTACACACCAATATAAACAAAACAATATAAAACATTTCACAAACTTAAATTCCCATGCTCTTATAAATCCAAACACATTTTTAAAAAATCTGTCTCTTTTAAAACAAAAATGCAAAGTCTCTTTTGAAAATGAAAGTCTCTCAACTGTGGCTCCTGTTGTCACGCCCACCTCGACCAGCAAGGAAGACGCAACACTCGGACTCTTCTCCAAGCAGTTTATTCAGGAACCTTGATGAACAATCTTCTTCTCCTCCTACCCGGGGAAAGCCAGCCCACAGCTTATAAGGCCTAGGCATAGCCAACCCCAGCACGCCACTTGGCGACAGCAGATAGGTCCACATACGAGGAAGCAAGCCAGATATCCAGCCTTGACCAAATAAGGAGTTGTTTATCACAGAGAGCACTCACTGTCGGGAGGGTGGTAGGCGAAAGCCCGCACCATCTTTAATGTGCGGCACGGCACGTCGCAGCTCTCTACATCCTGTAAAATCAGAAATAAGTTAAATACTTTCTTATTTGTAGAGTGAAGAACCAGGGTGAAGTCACAAACTGAAAAAAGCAAAACCAAACTCCAATAATGTGTAAATAACACAATGCCCAATGTCTCAGATCTACTCACGGTCTTCTGGGCTCCTCCGAAGGGCCTGGGTCACTTCTCCAGCTCTCCCCTGTGCACCACACCTGTCATGTCTTCTAGGGTTCTGCTGACCCCACTCCATACCTGCTGCTTGGTGGTCTTCCCGTAGTACTGGCATTCCTCAAATGTTGGGGTCTACTGCTGCAATTGGGCTTCACTTTCACCAATAGCCTCTCCTGGGCTCTCTTCAAGGACTCCAATCCTTCCACACAATGCCAAGTCTCAGCTGCTTTCCATGACCCCTTCATGCCTTCAAAACTTTACCTCCTGGTGACTCCTATACTACCAACTTAGGCTACCAATAGGAGGTGCAATCTTGGTCACCTCTGGAACACAGTTTCTGTGTGCTACTCTCAGGAAACACTTCCCAGAAGACTTGGTCTCAAGAAAACTGGTCTCATCAAATGTGGTGACTCATACTTTTAATCCCAGCACTCAGAAGGCAGAGGCAAGTGGACCTCTGTGAGCTCAAAGCCAGTCTGGTCTACAGAGTGAGTTCCAAGACAGCCAGGACTATTACATGGAAAAACCCTGTCTTGAAAAACAAGAAAGAAAGAAAGAAAGAAAGAAAGAAAGAAAGAAAGAAAGAAAGAAAGAAGAAAGGAAGGAAAAGAAAAAGGAAAAGGTCAGTTGTGCTAGCTAGTTTTATGTCAACTTGACACAAGCTAGAGTCATAACAGAGGAGGGGGCTTCAAGTGAGAGAATGCCTCCAAAAGTGTGGGCTATAGGCAAGCATTATGTCATTTTCTTAATTAGTGGTTGATGGAGAATGGTCCAGCATATGTTGTTCCAGAAAAGCAAAGGTTTCACTTTGTTGGTTTCTGGTCCCTTGTTAATCATATTCATATCATATCATAATCATATCATATTCAACTCTGTCTGACCAGACACCTCAGTCTCTTCACCCAAATTGTCACACAGAGTCTTTGCTTCCCTCTGAAATGTCACAAGCCAGGCCTCTGTCATCTGCACTGCCCAACATTCTTATCTTCCAAATTCCTATAGAACAGCCCCTGAGTTCTCAACACTCAATAGCTTTTCTGGCCCAAAGTCCCAAAGACTTCCACAATCCTCCACAAAGCAACACATGTTCGTATCTGTTACAGCGATGCCACACTCTCCTGGTAAAAATTTCTGTCTTAGTCAGGGTTACGATGAAACACCATGACCAAAAGCAACTTGGAGAGGAAACAGTTTACTTCATTCACAGTTCCACAGAACAGTTGATCATCAAAAGCAAAAACTCACACAGGCCAGGAACCTGGAGGCAGGAGCTGATGCAGAGGTCATAGAGGGGTGAGGCTTGCTGGTTTGCTCTTCATGTTTTCATGTCCAAAGGGAAGAGAGCAGGAAGTCAGTAAGATAGATGCTAAGAGTGTCCTGGTTTTGTGGACTTGTGTGGCCCCTATCAGTCCCCTCCCCTCACTGGCTCCCAACGTTCTGAACAAAGTCACACCACATAACCTTCTTCCCGGAAAAGCTGAGAGATCTTTGTGTCAAGCTCCTTTAGAGCCCATGATGCCATTGGATGAATTCTGTACTCTGCAGACAGAAGTGTGATCACACAGTCCATGATGGCAGGCAGGCAGGCACAGGCAGATCGCCCCATCGATTCTCAGCACCACGGGGTTAGTCTCAGAACCTCTTCCCAAAGTCTCGATCTGTCTCTCACAGCCAGCCCAGGTGTGGTTAAGCCTAACAAGACATCAGGAATACAAAACGGCTTGTTTGGTCCTGGAGTCCACCACCCCAACCTATGCAAACACCCATTCTGAAAAACTCCCACAAAGCTTTGACCTCACTCCTACTAAGGGTGAATGAGTTGTGAGGGGAATAAGGTCTGGGCGGAGAAGAACAGGGAGAAAAAGCTGATGAGAAAATACTAGGATCAACTTTCACCTGCAGGTAACTTAGCTAGATGTCAATTTCTTGCTGTCACTGTCAAATCCCATTAACTGCTGGTTTGTTTGCTTGTTTGCTTTGCAGGGCTGAAAACGGAATCCCAGCCCATGCACATGCTAGTTAAGTACTCTATCACTCCAGCTACACCCCTAAACACATGCTAGTTAAGTACTCTATCACTCCAGCTACACCCCTAAACACATGCTAGTTAAGTACTCTATCACTCCAGCTACACCCCTAAACACATGCCAGTTAAGTACTCTATCACTCCAGCTACACCCCTAAACACATGCTAGTTAAGTACTCTATCACTCCAGCTACACCCCTAAACACATGCTAGTTAAGTACTCTATCACTCCAGCTACACCCCTAAACACATGCTAGTTAAGTACTCTATCACTCCAGCTACACCCCTAAACACATGCTAGTTAAGTACTCTATCACTCCAGCTACACCCCTAAACACATGCTAGTTAAGTACTCTATCACTCCAGCTACACCCCTAAACACATGCCAGTTAAGTACTCTATCACTCCAGCTACACCCCTAAACACATGCTAGTTAAGTACTCTATCACTCCAGCTACACCCCTAAACACATGCCAGTTAAGTACTCTATCACTCCAGCTACACCCCTAAACACATGCTAGTTAAGTACTCTATCACTCCAGCTACACCCCTAAACACATGCTAGTTAAGTACTCTATCACTCCAGCTACACCCCTAAACACATGCTAGTTAAGTACTCTATCACTCCAGCTACACCCCTAAACACATGCCAGTTAAGTACTCTATCACTCCAGCTACACCCCTAAACACATGCTAGTTAAGTACTCTATCACTCCAGCTACACCCCTAAACACATGCCAGTTAAGTACTCTATCACTCCAGCTACACCCCTAAACACATGCCAGTTAAGTACTCTATCACTCCAGCTACACCCCTAAACACATGCTAGTTAAGTACTCTATCACTCCAGCTACACCCCTAAACACATGCTAGTTAAGTACTCTATCACTCCAGCTACACCCCTAAACACATGCTAGTTAAGTACTCTATCACTCCAGCTACACCCCTAAACACATGCCAGTTAAGTACTCTATCACTCCAGCTACACCCCTAAACACATGCTAGTTAAGTACTCTATCACTCCAGCTACACCCCTAAACACATGCTAGTTAAGTACTCTATCACTCCAGCTACACCCCTAAACACATGCTAGTTAAGTACTCTATCACTCCAGCTACACCCCTAAACACATGCCAGTTAAGTACTCTATCACTCCAGCTACACCCCTAAACACATGCTAGTTAAGTACTCTATCACTCCAGCTACACCCCTAAACACATGCTAGTTAAGTACTCTATCACTCCAGCTACACCCCTAAACACATGCTAGTTAAGTACTCTATCACTCCAGCTACACCCCTAAACACATGCTAGTTAAGTACTCTATCACTCCAGCTACACCCCTAAACACATGCCAGTTAAGTACTCTATCACTCCAGCTACACCCCTAAACACATGCCAGTTAAGTACTCTATCACTCCAGCTACACCCCTAAACACATGCTAGTTAAGTACTCTATCACTCCAGCTACACCCCTAAACACATGCTAGTTAAGTACTCTATCACTCCAGCTACACCCCTAAACACATGCCAGTTAAGTACTCTATCACTCCAGCTACACCC